GTGTTCGTTGTGGGTTGACCCCTGACCTCCCTTCCAACCGCCCTTCGCCCTTCGCCTTTCGTAACATATCCCGTTGTCGGCAAATGCAAATCAAGTCGTCCGCAATCCTTACGAGCTGTGGGCCATGTAAATGAGCCTAACCCCTAACCCCTGACCTTGCAACCCCTGCCCAAACAGGCATCGGAATCAGAATCACCAGAATCACAACTGGAATGGCCCAACCCCCCGAACGAACGCATGTGGAAATCTTTGCCCAAACACTTTGCGAGACATCGCCCAGACAGAGACACCAGAAACCCGTCAGACTTGACGCCCCAGTAAGTGATAGCGCTCATGACTGCTCGACTGGTTAACTGGTTGTCCTGTCCTGTCCTGTCCCATCCCGTCCTGCCCTATTCATCAAACTGGAAAGGCAGGAGAAGAAGAGGGCAGGGGTCAAGGGGTCACACACACACACACGCACATTCACATGCGGGTCGGTTCGTCGGGTTAGATTGCGATTCAGATTCAGAATCAGATTCACAATCAGGTTCGGACTCGGACTCGGTTTGAATTCAACTCAACCCACAAGCCACTTTCACTTCCATTTCCATTTCCATCTCTATTTCCATTTCCATTTCCATTTATTTTCACATACTTTCCCCGCCGTTTCATGTTTTGTGTTTGCTTGTCAACAATGTCTGCCGGCTTGTCCTGTGTCCCTCGTCGTGTGTGTTTCGGTGTGTGTGGAGTGCGTAGTGCGACAAGTTGTCTGTGGCGATGTGGGCGACGCTATTCGTTCGGGATAGAAAATGATGAAAATTTCCATATTATCGAAGTTTAACTGGCAGAAGAATCGGAGGAAGGACGAGGGGAAGAGACCGGCAAACCGGACGCGGGGGCGGGGGGAACAAGCAATGTGTGATAATTTGTTGATTTGGGCTCGAGCTGAGTCGGACAACTTGTTGCATACCCCCAGGCGCAACACAATGCCAACTGAGGGAGGAGGAGGAGGGCAGGGGGCGTGGCATGGTGAGGCATGGCTCGGCTAGAAAGGGGGAGTTGATTTGAGAAATGAAGACGGACCGCATGTGTATTTTGATGCCGGACGTCAAGGACACGGCACAAGACGTTGTCTGCCATTTGGCTCTGGCTCCCCTCCCCTCCCCTCCCTTTTTCGCTCTTCCTGTCTGTGTGTGTGTGTCTGGGGGAGTGTGTTAATGTATTCATTGGCTGGCCTGGACCCCGGTCCCCGGTCCCCGAGTCCTGAATCCCGAATCCTGGATCCCGGACACGTCGAGTCCCGCACGCCGGTTGCCGGATGCCGGAAGTAGTAGTCAGCAAGCCATAAAAACTTAAGGAACACACATGGCTGTGCGGAAGGCGAAGGGGGAGCGGGAAGCCAGGGCAAAGACGACAACTGGCAGGAGTATGTGCTTTTTTTCGGGCGTCTCGTTTACTTCACATATGCTCTTGACTGGGTGACACACACACACACACACACACACAAAACAGAGCGACACAGACAGGCAGGACGTTCGTTCGTTTGTGCGCTGGCTTCGGTTCGACTAGCCAAGGGGGCAATAGGGATGGTGGGGGTTAAATTTACTCGCCTTTTCCTTTATCTTCTGCTGGTTGTTTTTTTTTTTTTTTTTTTTTTTTTGGCAGGACGAAGTAAAAGTGAGTCACAAGCCACGACGGCAGGGACAACAACAACAACAACAAGAAAAACAACAGCAACGAGGACGTCGACGACTTTACTTATGCTTGGTCAATTGCCAGGCGTGTGAGTGTGTTAGTGGGCGGGTGTGGGTGTGAGTGTGGGCGTGGGTGTGGGTGTTCGGGTGGGTGTGAAACGACCTTGGCCTTACTTTCGCTTTTGTCGTTGTCGTTGTCATCGTTGTCGTCGTCGTCGTCGTCGTCGAGTTGTCCCAGCATTGTGCGTGTGTTGGGCACTGTCTGCTCCCCGTTCGTCTGCCCGTCCTTCGTCCTTCGTCCTTGGCGCTGCTTCTGTAATTTTATGCGGATTATCACTGCTCACCCGGACACACACACTTCCACACACACACACACACACACCCTGGCTCAGTGGCAGAGGTGAGACGCGTGTGTTTGTCAGACAGCAAGGTAGACGGTCGGTGGGTGGGCAGCTCTGTCTGCCTCCCAAGATGGCAGCTGCTGTTGCTGTTGCTGCTGCAAGGTCAAGTCTCGAGCCAACTTAACTCGGCTCGGTTGCCAGGCAAGGCCGTGACTTTGGAGTGGCGGGTGCTCAGTGGCGAGGCAGCGAGGCAGTCAGTGTGGCGGAGAAGCCGGAAGTTAAAAGTCCATGGCAGTTGAAAGCAGCAGCAGCAGCGGCGGCAGCAGTGGCAGCAGCGCCACCGAAGAGCTGGATGAAAAACAACAGCCGCGAGAGCGAGGAAACGACAAACACTTCAGACTTCAGACTCGACACGGACAGTGTGGACTTTAATTTCAATGTCTGGTGTGGGTCCTCCAGTCCTCTTCCAGTCGCAACAGTTGCCGCCCAGCCGGCAAACCACCCCTCCCCTCCCCCCTCCCCTTCCCTTGCCGAGTGTCCGCGTTCGTGCTTTCATTGTCTGTCGGTCTGTGTGTGGGTGTGGGTGTGGGGGTGTGTGTACCCACCGCCAGTCAGTCCATCCTGTTTGTCGACAAACTCCTTCGCGGTGGCCACGCAGCGTCCTTGGACGCCAACTTGGGAAGGGAAGGGCTCGAAGGAGCTGTTGCTGTTGGAAGAGGCGGGAGGTGGGTGGTTAGCTGGGTGACTCGGCTTCCTCTAGGTCAGGGCACCTGTTGCAAAGCCAAGACCGAGAAGGACTCAACCTTGGGGGGTAAGGAATCAGTAGCAGTGAGAGCTAGCAGCAAACCAGCACACAACCTCAAACCCCTTGCTGTGAAAGCATTAATTAACGACTTCGGCCGCGGATCTGACTCGATACCATTGTCAATAACAATTAACTCCGGCATATAATTTATGCCGGCTCATGTGTTTGATTTTTTATTGAAAAACTTTGTGGCTCTCGAAGCGGCAAACATGGAAATGCAATAAAGCGCCACTCCCGCTCTATACCCCCTTGTCTTAGGTTCAGAGAGCGATGCATTAATGCCGCCCTCCACTCGTCCAACCACCCACCGCCCACCTGCCCCCGCCCCGCCCCCTTTCCAACAACCTACTAAACTTTGAGCGAAATTACAAGCTTAAATGCGCCACAGGAAGATGCAACAATAAAATGCAAAATGAGAAATGGCAGCGGCTTTCAAACAATAGCAAAAACTATCAAAACTGACTTTCTACAATTTACACACATGTCCACACACACACACACACACACATACATGTGTGGTGGTGGGCTATAACAAAGCAATACAAAGATACAGATACAAATGCAAACGAACAAAATGAGTGGAAAAAATGTATAATTATTTTAATACAAAAGCGCAAAAACAAAAAGCGACAACAAAAGCGAAATTGCATTAACAATGCAGCGACCCCGCCCCTCCGCCCATCCGCCCCTCCAATTTCCTCCTCCCCAAAAGCCTCAGCAGCGAATAAGGAAAAAAATGTACACAGCACACTTACTATATTCAGAAGGATCGTATATATAGTACGTAATGTGGAAAGCGACAGCGAGTGGAAAACGCGAAAAAAATACCGCGCCAAATTATAATATAATTATATTTAAAATGCTGCCGACGGCTCGCCTGACACGCCCCTTTCCTGGCCTGGCCGCCCCTTTTCCCCCCGAGTGTTTCCATGGCGGGCAGCGGAGTAGAAAAAAATACTAATAATTTTGCCAAAAAAAAAAAAAAGAATAATGCAGCTAAAATTTTCGCCATATACGCGGTGTAGACAAAAAAGTCTGAATATTCGGACTGAAACCATTGGCGGCCGCAATACCCTTCTTCAATTAACGCTGATATAGGGAACTATAAAGAATATATAACTTGTTTATAGTACGATGTCCGATTGAATCCGAATTGAATGCAGACAACGATATTATGACCTTGTCTTAAAACAAAGAAAATAAGGCTTAAAAGCTGGGACGACCGCTATGTTGTAAGGGCATTGGTAGATGAAAACTAAATGAGATTTCGCGCTGAGCCATGAACCTGCCGCGACCGGAGTCTTCTAACTTGGCGAGAGCAAAAAAGTGCATACGTATAATATGCATCAAAACAGCGGCTAGCGGCTAGCAACAACAACAATGACATTGACAGAACAATGGGCTATGAGAGAAGGAGAGAGGGGGAGGGGAAATAGGGAGCGGGAACGGGAGGGGGAGCGGGGGGCAGTTGCACGAGAAGCAGGCGAATAAATTTTAACCGCTTTGGGAACACGTATCACGTATACGCCGTGTTACACTGCTGCCGCAGTGCAGCCAAACAAACGTTTAGACGAATGTGTGTGTTGGCATGGCCACAGGAGGGGAGCGGGGAAAGGGAAGGGGGAAAGGGGGCTTAGGACCTGGCCAACAGCCAAAACTGATGCTAACTATAATTTGCACCGGTTGTTGCTGTTGTTGTTGTTGCTACTGTTTTAATTTCATTTGTCTACCCTGCAATCACGGGGTGATTCACGGCTTTTCGGAAGCTATTTGCTCGGCCATTCGGGCCGAGGTATTTGCCTATCGAACCCACTGACGGCACGACGGAGCTGCCTGCCCCTCCACTCGCTCCACTCGCTCGATTCGTGCCGCTTTGTTGGCTTAATTTCGGGCAGTTCGGTCGCTTTTTGTTTTTTAAAGTAATTTATGTATTTATTATTTTTTATAAGTCATATTTAGTTTGCAGGACGAGGGCAGCTCGCTCGCTCGCATGTATGCAATTCATTTCACTTGGGTTGCTTTTCGTTTAGTTTCAGGCTCCGTTTTCATTTTTCTATTTACCAAAAAAAAAAAAAAAAAAAAACAGCAATTGCGACCCTTAACTGACTTTGGCATAGACAATATGGATGGCCCGACTGAATTTATTACAAATGCAATTTGTTCGATTTATCCTTACAGGCAATCCACCACCAGGATCGAAAACGGAAAGAAATAAAATGGATCGCAGTGCAGGGAATCAGGTAAGCTTTTCATCTCTTTTCATTTGTTTCAACTGCAAGTTAATACAGCCTTGGTTTATCTAACTAAATATGTGATTATGGAGCCAAGGCCACAGGGTTATCCTGTTTCTCTTTTTTTGACCCGCGCTGGCGACAGAGAGAAGAGTCTCTTATCCGTCTTATCGCGTACCTCCGACAAATATTAGCATATAAACTCAGTCAGCCAGCCAGTAGATGGGGGCTACAAATCTTTTCGACCCACTAACTAGCTTTTTAGTATACGTATTTAAAAATTCTTTCTATCAAGAATATTTTTCTTTTAAAGACTGAAAGCTATACAATTTAAATTTTGTAACTCTACTTGGATAACTAGTTGAATGTATTGAGTATTCAATTTTAAATGGCACCGCAGTCAAGGCCTTAACTCCTAAGCATTAAGCTCGTGAAAGCCTCCCCTAAATCAGAATTCTGTATCCATCTTCGGTCTCTGGTGTGACATTCCATGCGAATACATCATTTTCATTTGGCGGAAATCTCAACTACAATGTGCCCTCGATGCAAAGACACTGGAACTGACAGCGAAGGGGGGCGAGGGCCTCTTTCCCGTCTTTTCCGCCAGTTACCGCACATTGGCAATCTTTTTTATATACGTATGCTCGAGTAATACTTTTGCAAACTTGGCTCCTTGACTCTCCATTCCATTGGTGCTCCCTGCCGCGTGGGCGAGCGGGCTGTAAAATTTGTGTCTAAACGCAAAACAAGGCAGGAAAGAATAAAATAAATACAACGGGAGACGAGGGGCGCACGAATTGCTGGTTCTTAGGTGTGGTTGTTGGTAGTAGGATGTTGTTGTTGTTGGTTGTAGAATGTTGTTGTTGTTGTAGGACTGCCGCGTTGTAGGACAGCCGCGCAACCGTTCAATCAACACCCCATTTGACTAACAACAACAAGGGTAAACGGAGCCCCAGCCGAAGACGAAGGACGATGATGCCTAGAGGGCGATGGTGGGGAGCAGGAGTACACACACACACACACACACACACACACAGTGAGAGGAAGAACCCCCGGCCCTGATCCCCTCTCCTACAAACACTATTCTAACGTTCGCGGAGCTATAAAAATATTTTTTAACATTTCTCCCGCGCGAACATTTTCTTTTTCGGGTTTTTGCGCTTTCCTTTCGTTCTCACGCTTTTCGTCTGGCCCTGTCCTTGCCCTTGCATCGCATCCCTTCTGTTCTTCTAACCTTCCCCGCCCACCGCCCACCGCTCACCGCCCACTTCGCGTAGGAGAAACTGTTAGAGCTGCGAAAGTTTGCGTCTGTTTGTCTTCAGAGCGCAGAGATTGGGGTTTTTGGGACAGGGGACGACTGCTGACTGGTTGCTTGAGGTTCAAAATGGGTCGAAGCGAAGGGGGTTACGGAGAGGGGGCGGTTGCGTTTGTTGCGCTCCTTTCTCCTCCGCGACCGCCGACTCAACAACAACAGCAACAACAACAACGTAATGGGAGGCGCCTTCCCCTAGGTCGTCGTACCAAAACATACACAACACAAAAAATATAGAGAGCGACGGCAGCAAAAAATAATAATAATAATGAAAAGTTTACTGCATAGAAAAGAGCAGGCACAAAATATTGCCAAAAAAGAGGGGAGGCTCCGGACGAAAGTGGGCGGGGCGGGGCGGGCAGGCGAAGTATGTATTTGAAACTAAACTGCAAACTAGAAGAAGCTCCGCGGATTGCGGACTGGGGACTGGGGATTGGGGGTGCTCGGCTTGAACGCACATTAACTTGATGCTCGCCTGCCTCGCCGCCCGCTCTGCATAAAAAAAGTTGTAACTATGAAAATTTTATAAATTCCGCAGATTTTCCGGCGCTAAGAAAACTGAGTTGGGCGGAGATGTTGAATGGGGTCGACTAGTCCGTTATTCTCAGTCGTTTGGGGCAACGTTGATGGGTGATGGGGAATGGGGATGCCTTTGATAATGTGAGCTGAGCGTTGGCATTTCCCCCATCCTTCCACCAGTCTCATAGTTGGGAAACTTTGCAGCTTGCAGTGGTGATGGGCCACTCGAGAGGCGTTGCTTTGATGGGATTGCCTCGCCGCCGCGAAGAAGCAAAGGACTCGTAATACTTAGCTGCAGAATAAGTGATACGAGTGGGTAATAAGTAAGGTTGCTTTTAAACCGTTTTAGATGCGATGCGCAATGAAATACGACTAGGATTTCCATCACCTAGGCTCGATTAAATTAGTTCGAAATGCCAAGCATAAATAATTACAGAAAGCGGGTGGCACTGAGGTCTAAAGTGGCAGTAAACAACAAATTTAAATTCAATGAAAGTTAATAAGGATGTCTGGTCCCGGGCTTGAGCCTCTCGTCTCAGTCTATTCTCGGATCCTGTTCTCCGGCTTCCTCGGACTTCAGACTTCAGCCGAGAGAGAGAGACACTTTTTGAACAGCCGATTGAATTATTTAATAAATTAATTGCGCAAATTAAGTTCGAGGCTTGGCGGCCCGGCCACGCCCACATCCCATTGGCGGCTGATAAAGCAATTAAGCGCTCTGCCTCGCTGGCAAAGGCAGCTGCATTTCCCGGGGGGGCGGTGCAGCCCCTAATCCGCGACTAGAGACTGCAAACTAGACGTTGCGAAATATCTGTGAGTCCTGTGCCCGCCTGCCTGCCTGCTCATCGAATTTCAATTCAGCAGGAGCAGCGAGGAGAAAAAGGAGAAAAACATCAATCGATAATTTTTAATGTAGTCGTATTTCTTTTTAAGCACTCGCCTGTACCTTTTTGGCTGCCTGTCGCTCTAAGTTTTGCCCCCTCCCCCTCGAACCCCTCGGTCCGCTCACCCCATCTCCTATTCCCCGGGAATCCCCCGATCCCCGGGAATCCCCTGGTCGTCGGTTCGGTTCAGTTCAGTTGAATTTAGCTCTGTTCGGTTCGGTTCGGTTCGGCGTTTCCTTTTTGTGCGCTCCTTTTTTAATATTTACCCAATTCATCAAAAAATAAGTAATTATAAACTTTTCAGTTTTTCTTCTGCCGTCTTGCGTCTATGCTCTCGCTCTTCCGTCTCTTTCCCGCTACCCGCTACTACTAGTGTGTTTGCCTCTGTGTGTGTGTGTGTGTGTGTGTGTGACCGTTTCCCTTTTACAAAACGCTTTCCTTTCCTTTCCCTTTTCTGGCTGTGCCACAGAGCTTCGATGTCGATGTCTTCCCCTTGAAGCCACCACTCGAACCGCCCGACCACCCCCACCAGCAGCAGCAACCGCTCACTCCCACCGCACCGCCCACCGCCTACCACCACTCCTCCCCCTCTCTCACCATTTGGCGCGCAAAGTAGAAAAAAATTGGAAACAACCCCGAAAAAAGAAAGTTTTTGTTGTATAAGCGAAAAACTAAGCTTCTATTCAAATTCTACGCCATCGAGTGCTTCGTTTTTATTATTCATTCATTCCGTTCTCAACCTCCCGCTACCGTTGTTGTTGTTGCTGTTGTTGTTGTATTTTTGGCACAAGCAAAATGAAAGCACAAGGAAAAAATGGGAAAAAGTAAAAAGATGAAAAATGTAAAGAAAGAGGAAAGTTTCCGATTACAGTGAGGGGAGTTTTTGTGACGAGAGGCGGGGGGAGAAGGGGGCAGGGCACTGGCTGTATTGTAGGCCCGGCACAAAGCCAAGCACTAGTCCCCCCACCCACTTTTAGCCCTCTCCCGCGACACACACACACACACACACTAGCTCGCACACACACACTAACACACACAGAGTGCAAAAGGAGAGGCAAGAAGCAATACACACGCGCGTCTTTTGAGCATAAGTAGAATATAAAAATTTTGCGATTATGAATTTGAATAAAAACGATACCGAAGCCAACAGCCAACAGCTAACAGGCAAGTACGCAGTCGAGATTCTGCCGCAGTCGCTGCCGGCGTGGCGTCTCCGTCTCCGTCTCCGTCTCCGTCGTCATTGCTTGACAATGTAGTTGTATAGTACGAGTAGCTCCTTCTGCAGCAGGACTCCTTGGGTGGATTAGAAGCTGACATGGGCGTAGCGAGGGTTCAGTTTGAATTGGTAATTTTTGAAAAAAATTCTGGAGACTGGAGATTATGTTTTTTAAGGATGTTCCTCCTACAGTTCAGAAAGGAATTAAATGTATTTCGTTTTTCAGCAGCTTTAGTTGTGATTATGAATTAGTTGTAAATCTATCCACTTCGTTGTGAGAAACTATTGTTGAATTCGTTTTGCTATGTGAAGATACTTCTCCCCTAAAAGCTGATGTACAAATGCGTCTTGGAGGTTTGGCTCAAATAGTATGTGCTGTAGTTGCTACTTTTAGTGCTACTTTTTCAGATTTCCATTCTTGTTTTTTTTGGTTGGTACATTACATTTTTCATTTGGCCCCCCTGCAAGACCCCCGAATTCCGTTCCCTGCACTCAAATCACAAAAGCATCGACGATCACAGCCGGGGAACGTTGCTGTCGACGTCGCTGCCGTGGCATAATAATAACACAATCAATAATAAAAGGAAGAAGAACTGAGCTGATGGCGCGAAGAAGCGGCGGCGGCGGCGGGGAATTGGCAGGAAAAATGTGAAATAGTAGTAAATAGAGGATTGCTGTATTAGAGGCTGGTGCCGCGATGTGTGCGCCACAAAGGACGAAAGGCGGAGCGGTGGGCGTAGGGCGGTGGGTGATGGGCGGTGTAAGACGGGAGACGAAGACGGGAAATCGAGGACGAAGACAGCGACAAGCGACAAGAAGATGGCGGAGTCGACGTTGGCAAATGTTTAAGCTAAGGATTAATATTTTTATTTTTTGTTCGCCTTTTTTAGAATTTTGTACTTACATGCGAGGCAGTTTCCCGCTTTTCCTTGTTGTTCCTTTCCCTTTCCCTTTCCCTCTGTGTGTGTGTGTGTGTGTGTGGGAGTCTTAAGAGTGTGTGTGTGTGAGTATTAAAAGGAGGCGGCTGGCAGGGAGGGAAAACGGGAGGAGACAGTGCAGATGTAGCAGAAATCTTTGT